TTTGCTGACCACCTTAGAATTGATTCTCACGTGGTTAAACCCAAAGGCCCTCTTGGCTCCTATCTAGAAGGATTCCATGTTGCTCAATCTGCTTGAGATAGTGACTGGATTAAGGTAGGCCCAAATCCACTGACTAGTGTCCTATAAGAAGAGGGAGATTTGGACACAGATACACCGAAAAGAAGGCTACGCAAAGGTATAACCACAGTTGGAGGGCTGCATCTCCAAGCCTGGAAATGCCAGGACTACACCAACTCCAGAGGGCAGGGGAAGACAAGGGAGGATCTTCCAGAGCAGTGATTTTTAACTGGTGTGGCACAGCACACTGGTGTGCCGTGATAGGCTCTTAGGTGTACTGCAAAAATTTTTATAGGTCATTAATTAAATTATTTTCAAAAGAAGTTCAAAGCACAGTAAGTATATTCTTTTTCTTTGCAGTTAAAAAAAAACCAATATAATTGAAGTGTGGTGCAGAAGTTTAACCGTCAGTTCAAGTGTGCCTTGAGATAAAAGGGTTGAATAACACTGATCTAGAGCCTTCAGAGAGAGCGTGGTCCTGTTGCCACTCTGACATCAGACTTAAAGCCTGCAGAACTACAAGAGAATACATTTCTTTTGTTTTTAAGCCAAGCAGTGCGCAGTGTGCTAGTTCTATACAGGCCGCTCAGCCCACGTGCTGTGATAAGCTGGGGATGGCTTGGTGGTCTCCTCTGCTCCTAGTGACCTGTGCTTGCTTTAGAAACCCCTGGAGCAGGGGCCTGAGTGGGGCTGGAATGATGGAGGGTGGCAGGGAGCAGCGGGGCACACACTCCCCATCTGGCCACGGGGACGGCAGGCTTTTCTCTGTGTCAGACTTACCCCCCAGGGCTTCCATGAGCTGTTCCTCTGAGGGCTGTGGGTGGTTCCTAAGTAGTGTGTACATGGACATCACCATCCCAGGGGTGCAGAAGCCACACTGGGTGCCGTGACACTTGGCAATCCGCTCCTGGAGAGATACACACGTGGCCACTGCCCTGCCTCGCTCCTCCCACCGGCTCTCACTGCGCTCCACAGCCTGCATCTCCCTTGTTAGGCGTACCCCACCCCTGACCAGCGTCTGCTGGTGTCCCTCCTGGGCTGATCCTGAGGAAATGACTCAGAAGCTGCACTCTAGCCTCGTAGTCACTTCTCAAGGTCAAGTGTTCAAACCCTTCTAGCTGGGAAACAGCAAAGTGTAGCTTCTACTCCAGAAGAAGAATTCCCCAGAAATCAATAGTTAGAAGGAGATGTGCCTAACTTTTAAAGGCGGTTTCCTCGAACACCTCCACAGTCGCACAGCTGTGCTCTGTGAGGCTACTTCTTTCTAATTAACTCAGAGACTATTTTTGCTCTTGCTTTGCTTTTGTCTTTAAATTCTTCTGCATTGGCTCAAAGGGAGCTCTGCTTTTAAAGGTTCAAGGTTTTGGTCTGTGTCCTGGATCCACCGGGGAACTTGGAGAAAATACAGAAGTGGGGACCCTACTCCAAATCTCT